CTCTTGTCCACCGCTCAGGACCTGGGTGACCTCATGGCCTCTCCAGGGTCAGGTGTGAGGAAGGGTGGCAGGACAGGAGATAAACCACCCAGGGGACAGAGATCAGGCAGAGCAGGGAGCCCTGCCCATCGGGGCCATGGTGGAGGGTCTGAGGATGCCCTGTGTATGAAGTGAAGGGTCCTGTATGAAACCGTCATAGGACCCTAACTGAAATATCATACGTGACAGGCAGTGTGTCTGAGGGTCCCTCCACGGGGCCGAGGGCAGGGGACACGGGGCTCAGAGTGCAGCCCCAAGAGAGGGTTGGTGCCTTTGCCCTCTGGGAAAGTTTGGGGTCCCCAGTGAACTCTGGACACCAGTGTGTCGAGCACTCTGGGAGGCTAGAGCTGACCTGCACCCTGAAAGGACCCCACCCACCCATTCATGGGTGTTGTAAGTCCATTCCAAAGGGACAGATGTTCTCATCTCCTGAGGGTCAGGGGCCAAGCACGCAGGAGCCAGCATCACAGAGAGGGACATCCGTTCCCCTGAAGTGGGGTCCCCTGACAGGGTCCAGTGGGCAGAAATCCAGATACATGGGTGGGGGGGGGTGCTCTGGTCTCCTGCCACCTTCCTGACCCCTGGAAGTTCAGGTGGGAGTGCGAGGCCTGGGGCTGCCAGGCAGTTGCAGGGTCTCTCTCCTTTCTCTTGTTGGCGCTTTGTATGGTTCTTCGAGGGGAGGGAAAAAAGGGAAGAGAAAGAGAAAACGCTTGGTTTGAAGCCCTGCCTCCAGCTGCAGGCTATGTAGGCAGATGATGAGAGAGGTGGAAGTACCTCAAAATGAGTTAGTCATCCCACAAGGGGACAAACAAGCTATCAGCATGTTCTGTACTGAATTGTGTCTCCCCAGATTCACATGTTGAAGTCCTAGCCCTCAGGACCTCAGAATGTGACCTTACTTGGAAATAGAGTCATTGCAGATGCAATTAGTTAGGTTGAGAGGGGGTCACACTGGAGCAGGATGGGCCCCATTCAACATGACTGCTGTCCTTGTAAAAAGGGGCAACGTGGACACAGACACGCACGGGGAGACACCACATGAAGAATAGGGTGATGCTTACAGGTCAAGAACCTACCAGGAGCTGGCGGGCGCCCGGAGCAGAGCCTTCCCAGAGCCGCTGAGGGGGCCTCCAGACTGTGAGGCAGTTTCTGTTGTTTAAGCC